GGTTTTAGCTCCTTGATCAAATATTATAAGTTGGCTGTAGATGTTTGGATTGATTTCTGCTCTGTTCCATTGGTTTATCCATCTGTTTTTGTACAAGTCCCAGGCTGTTTTGATTATAACTGCCCTGTAGTATGTCTTAAAATCTGGTATTGTGATGCTTCCGGCTTTGATTTGTTGTGTAAAATTGCTTTAGCTATTCGAGGTCTCCTGTGTCTCCATATGAATTTCAGCACCATTTTTTCTAAATCTGAGAAGAATGTCTTTGGTGTTTTGATTGATATCACATTGAATCTGTACCTTGCTTTTGGGAGATTGGACATTTTGATGATATTCATTCCTCCAATCCATGAACATGGAAGAATTTTCCATTTTTCTTTTTGTGTCTTCTTCTATTTCTTTAAGGTTTGGTAATTCTCATTGTAGAGATCTTTAACTTCATTGGGTAAGTTTATTCCAAAGTATTTGATGGTTTTTGTAACTATTGTGAATGTGATTAATCTTGAAGTTCATTCTCAGCTGTGGCATTGTCTGTGTATACAAAGGCTGTTGATTTTTGTATACTGATTTTATATCTTGCTACTTTACTAAACTCTTCTATGAGTTCCAATAGCCCCTTAGTGGAGTTTTTGTATCCTCTATATAAAGAATCATGTCTTATGCAAAGAGGGATAGTTTGACTTCCTTCTTCCCAATTTGCATCCCTTTGATTTCATTTTCTTGCCTAATGGATCTGGCAAAAAACTTCTAGTACTATATTGAATAGCAGTAGTGAGAGTTGCCATCCCTGTCTGGTACCAGATCTCACTGGGAATGCTTCCAACGTTTCCCCATTTAATAGAATGTTGGCTGTGGGTTTTTCATAAATTGCTTTGATTGTATTGAGGAATGTTATTTCTATACCCAATTTGCTTAGAGTTTTCATCATGAAAAGAAATTGTATTTTGTCAAATGCTTACTCTGCATCTGTTGAGATAATCATGTGGGGTTTTTCTTTTTCAGCAGTTTGTTAATGTGGTGTATCACATTGATTGATTTGCGAATGTTGAATCATCCCCGCATACCAGGGATAAATCCCATTTGGTCTGGGTGGGTGATCTTTTCATGTGTTGTTGGATTTGATTGGCTAGAATTTTGTTGAGGATTTTTGTGTCTACGTTTATCAGGGAAATTGGTTTGTAATTCTCTTTCTCGGTTGCGTCTTTTTCAGGTTTATGAATGAAGGTGATGTTGGCTTTGTAGAAAGAATTTGGGAGGATTCCCTCTCTTTCAGTTGTTCTGAATAACTTGAGAGGAATTGGAATTTGTTCTTCTTAAATGTCTGGTAGAATTCAGCATTGAAGCCATCCAGTCCTGGGCTTTTCTTTGTTTGCCTGTGTTATGGGTCTATTTAGGTTTTCTATGTCTTTATGGCTCAATTTAGGTAGATTGTATGTGTCCATGAATCTATTTCTTCTTGGCATATAGCTCTTTGTAATAATTTTTGATGATTCTTTTTATTTCTTTGGTGTCTATTGTTACATTTCCTTTTTAATCTCTAATTTTACTGATTTTGTTCTTCTCTGTCGTCTTTTTGGTTAATTAGGCCACTGGTGTGTCACTTTTGTTTATTTTTCAAAAAACCAGCTCTTCCTTTTGCTGATCTTTTGTTATGTTTTTTTTTTTGGATTCAATTTTGTTGATTTCTTCTCTAATTTTAATTATTTCTTTTCTCCTAGTAGTTTTGGCCTTGGTTTATTCTTGTTTTTCTAGATCCTTGAGATGCATGAATAGCTCATTTATTTGGTGCTTTTGCAATTTTTTTAAAGATTTATATTATTTAATTGAAAAGTTTCAGAGAGGTAGAGACAGGAGAGAGGTCTTCTATCCGCTGGTTCAATCCTCAGATGGCAGCAACTGCCAGAGCTGCACTGATCCAAAACCAGGAGCCAGGAGCTTCTTCCAGGTCTCCCATGTGGGTACAGGGGCCCAAGTATTTGGGCCATCCTCCACTGCTTTTCCAGGCCATAGCAGAGAGTTGTATCAGAAGATGAGCAGTTGGGTCTTGAACTGGCATCCATATGGGATGTTGGCGCTTCAGGCCAGGACTTTAACTGACTGAGCAACAGCACTGACCTCCAATTTCTTGCTGTTGACACCTATTGCTATAAACATTCTTCTTTTCACTGCTTTTGCTGTATCATGGAAGTTTTGATATGTTTTGTTGTCATCTGCATTCGTTTCCAGAAATTTTTTTATTTTTTTTTATGTCTTCTATGACCCACTTCTCATTCAGGAGCATGTTTTTCAGTCTCCATGCATTTGCATATGCTCTAGAAATTCCTGACTTCCTGATTTCCAACCTCATTCCATTGTGGTCCAATAAGATTCATGGTATGATTCAGTTTTTGAATTTGCTGAAACTTGCTTATGGCCTAGTATATGGTCAATCCTAGAGAAAGATCCATGCACTGCTGAGAAGAATGTGTATTCTGGAATTGTAGGGTGAAAAGTTCTGTAGTTATCTGTTAGTTCCATTTGGTCTATAGTTAGATTAATTCTGCTGTGTTCTTGTTGATTTTCCATCTGGTTGATCTGTCCATTGCTGAAAGTGGAGCTTTGCAGTCCTCCAATACTATTGTATTTGAGTATAAGTCTCCCTTTAAATCTCTTAATATTTCTTTTAATTGGCCAGGTTCCCTGTAATTAGGTGCATACACGTTTATAATAGTTACATCTCCCTGTTGATTTGATCCCTTAAACATTATATAGTACCCTTCTTTGACTCTTTTAGCAGTTTTTCTGTTAAAGTTAATATTTTTCTGATATTAAGATGGCTATACCAGCTCTTTTTTGGTTTCTTTTGGCAAGGAATATCTTCTTTCATCCTTTCACTTTCAGTCTGCATATATCTTTGTTGGTGAGATATGTTTCTTATAGGCAGAAAATACATGGGTTTTATTTTTTAATCCAGTCAGCCAGTCTGGTCTTTTTTAAAATTTTATTATTATTATTATTATTTGAAAGACAGAGTTAGACAGTGAGAGAGAGAGACAGAGAGAAAGGTCTTCCTTTTCCTTTGGTTCACCCCCAAATGGCCGCTATGGCTGCACGTTGTGCCGATTTGAAGCCAGGAGCCAGGTGCTCCTCCTGGTCTTCCATGTGGGTGCAGGGACCCAAGCCCTTGGGCCATCCTCCACTGTACTCCCGGGCCACAGCAGAGAGCTGAACTGGAAGAGGAGCAACAGGGACAGATCCAGCACCCCGACTGGGACTAGAACCCGGTGTGCTGGCGCCGCAGGCGGAGGATTAGCCTAGTGAATTGCGGTGCTGGCAAGTCTAGTCTTTTGACTATGGAGTTGAGGCCGTTTACAATCAAGGGGAGTATTGATAAGTAATGACTTTGCCCTGCTATTTTTCCAAAAATATTCCTAATTTTTACTTTGAACTTCCTTTGATCTTTTACTGAGAGATTTTATTCCTTTACCTTCTTTTGTAGTGATGACCATGTTTCTGTGTGCAGCACATCAGTAAGCATCTTTTGTAGGGCTAGATGGGTGATGGCAAATTCTTTCCATTTCATTTTTTGTTTTAAAAGATTTATTGATTTATTTGAAAACCAGAGTAACACAGAGATAGGAGAGACAGAGAGAGGTCTACCATCAGCTTGTTCATTTCCAATTGGCCACAACAGGCAGAACTGTGATGATCCGAGGCCAGGAGCCAGGAGCTTCTTCCAGGTCTCCCATGTGGGTGCAGGGGCCCAAGCACTTGGGCCATCTTCTGCTGCTTTCCCAGGCATAGCAGAGAGCTGGATCAGAAGTGGAGCAACTGGGTCTGGAAACAATGTCCGGGATGCCAGCACTGCAGGCGGCTGCTACACCACAGAGCTGTCCCCTCAATTTCTATTTGTTATGGAAATTCTTTATTTCACATTCATTCATAAATGAGAGCTTTGCAGGGTATAATATTCTGGGATGACAGTTTTTTTTTTCTGTTAATCTTGGACTATATCTTACCACTCTCTCCTAGCCTGTAGGGTTTCTGATGAGAAGTCTGCTGTGAGTCTAATTGGAGATCCCCTGAAAGTAATCTGGCATTTCTCTCATGCACATTTTAGAATCTTCTCTTTATGTCATTTGGACTTGGGTAGCTTCTATTTCTTTCCCAGGCCATAGCAGAGAGCTGGATCAGAAGAGGAGCAGCTGGGACAAGAACCGGCACCCGTATGGGATGCCATTGCTGCAGGCCAGGGCTTTAACCTGCTGTGTCACAGCGCAGGCCCTGATACAGGCCTATATTGTACAGTGTTCAATATCTACCCTCATTTTGGTGAAAACATTCAAAATCCTCTCTCCTAGCTTTTTAAAAAACATATTATACATACTCAAGACATGCCTATTTGAAGATTAGTGTTTGAAGATACTGTAATTAAGTATTTTAAAATTTTAGTGTGTATTTTGTTATACTTTACTCACAGTTCAAGCAAAAATATTGATGATCAGTGAATTGTTTTTAAGTCTACATAATTTGATTATGTGAACTAATGACCTATAGTTTAATTTGATTTTTCTCTGTGTGAAGCCATTCTATCCTTCAAGATTAAAAAGTCATATTGACATTTTGGCTTAAAGTTGAATTAAATATATAATTTATTTGCAGAGTATTGAACTTTGTAATACTGAGTCATCCCAAATAACAGCATGATATATTTGTCTTATTGTAAAGCTTTTATTTAAAAAGCAGTATTTTATTCAGTAAAGTTTTTATATGTCTTCCATTAAAAGTTCTGCTGCATATTTCCCAGAGATTATAGGATATATTGGATTTTTATGATTATTGGGAATTATTGTACAGATGGAAAACAGTACATGACATTAAGTTTGACGTAATACACAGAGGCCTTTTTAAAATAACTGGGGTGGGACACAGAACACTTAGAAGTTTGGCCATTGTGTACCAAGTCTCTCATTGAACAAATAAGAATAAAAGTATTCTGCATAATTCTGTTTGTTTTGCTAAAGGAAAGAAGAAAAGAATTTGAGCAAAATCTCCGAAAATCAGGTCTTGAATTGGAAATTGAAGACAAGAGGGTAAGTTTCAATATATATTTATACCTGAATCTTATTTTGTAAAATTTTTATTTATTTAAATATTGTTTGAGATAGAGCACTCTTATCCGCAATGAAGCCAGATAATCCAGACCACAATCCAGGCCAGACTCACACCATGGTCTTCCTCTGGCTATATCAACACAGTCCAAGTCTTCCACATAAGTGGCAAGTGGGATCTCACTCACAGGTGGTTGTTGTTTTTTTTTTTTTTTTTTTTGCCAGAGTGTCTTGCCTTTCCATGCCTGAGAAACTCTGATGGGTTTCTTAGCCAGATCCAAATGCCTTAAGGGCTGATTCTGAGGCCAGAATGCTGTTTAGGACACCTTTCATTCTATGATTCTGCTGTGTAGCCTGCTTCCCATGTTGGATCGTTTTCTCCTTTTTAATTCTATCAGTATTCGCAGACACTGGTCTTGTTTATGTGATCCTTTGACACTTAATCCTATCATTATGATCAATTATGAACTTAAACTGATTACTTTGACTAGTGAGATGGCATTGGTACATGCCAGCTTGATGGGATTGAGTTGGAATCCCCTGGCATGTTTCTAGCTCTACCATTAGGAGTAAGTCTGAGAGAGCATGTGCCGAACTGTACTGGTCGTCCCTCTCTCAGTCCCACTCTTATATTTAACAGGGGCCACTTTTCAGTTAAATTTAAACACCTAAGAATAATTATGTGTTAATCAAAGAGTTCAACCAATAATATTAATTAGAAAAACATACTAAAAGGGATAGAGTATTAAGTTGTTCCTCGACAGTTAGGACAAGGGCTGATCAAGTCATTGTTTCTCATAGTGTCCATTTCCCTTCTACAGGTTTCCTTTTAGGTGCTCAGTTAGTTGTCACAGATCAGGGAGAACCTATGATATATGTCCCTTTGGGACTGGCTTAATTCACTCAGCATGATGTTTTCCAAATTCCACCATCTTGTTGCAAATGACTGGATTTCATTTTTTTAGTGCTCTTTAGTATTCTATAGAGCACATATCCCATAATTTCTTTATCTAGTCTTCTGTTGATGGGCATTTAGGTTGATTCCAGGTCTTAGCTATTGTGAATTGAGTTACAATAAACATTGAGGTGAAGACAGCTCTTTTATTTGCCAATTTAATTTCCTTTGGGTAAATTCCAAGGAGTGGGATGGCTGGATCATGTGGAAGGGCTATATTCAGGTTTCTGAGAAATCTCCAAACTGACTCACATAGTGGCTTTACCAGTTTGCATTCCCACCAACAGTGGGTTAGTGTCCCTTTTTCCCCACATCCTCGCCAGCACCTGTTGTTTCTTGATTTCTATATTTAAGCCATTCTAACTGGGGTGAGGTGAACTTGTGGTTTTGATTTGCATTTCCCTGATTGCTAGTGATCCTGAATATTTTTTATGTGTCTGTTGGACATTTGGATTTCCTCTTTTGAAAAATGTCTAGCGCAGTTCTGGCTGTTGCCTCTTCCAGCCAATTTGGGAGTAAACAATCGGAAGGAATTCCTCTCTCTCTCTCTGCCTCTCCTCTCTCTGTGTAACTCTCACTCTCAAATAAAAAATAAATTTATATAAAAAAAGAAATGTCTATTTAGGTCCTGGTCCAATCTCTTAAGTGGATTGTTAGGTTTTTTTTGTTGTGGAGTTTCTTGATCTCTTTTTAGATTCTGTTATTAATCCTTTATCAGTTGCATAGTTTGCACATATTTTTTCCCACTCTGTCCATTGCCTTTTCACATTGCTGACTATTTCTTTTGCGGTACAGAAACTTCTCAATTTGATGTAATCCCAGTTGTTAATTCTGGCTTTGACAGCCTGTGCCTCTGGGGTCTTTTCCAAGAAGTCTTTTCCTGTGCCTTTATCTTGTAGGGTTTCTCAATGTTCTCTAATAATTTGATGGTATCGGATCGTAGAATTAGCTCTTTAATCCATGTTGAGTGTATTTTTGTGTAAGGTGTAAGGTAGGGGTCTTGCTTCAGCGTACTTTGGATCCCCTAAAGGATCATATCATCGGTAAAGAAGCATAGTTTGAATTCTTCCTTTCCAACTTGTATCCCTTTAATTTCTTTTTCTTGCCTAATGGCGCTGGCTAAAACTTCCAGAACTATATTGAATAGCAGTGGTGAGAGTGGGCATCCCTGTCTGGTACCAGATCTCAGTGGAAAGCTTCCAACTTTTCCCCATTCAATAGTATGCTGGCCATGATTTTTTCATAAATTGCATTGATTGCATTGAGGATTGTTCCTTCTATACCCAGTTTGCTTAGAGTTTTCATCATGAAAGGGTGTTGAATTTTCTCAGATGCTTTCTCTGCATCTATTGAAATAATCATATTGTTTTTCTTCTGCAGTCTGTTAATGTGGTGTATCACATTGATTGATTTGCAAACATTGAACCATCCCTGCATACCAGGGATAAATCCCACTTGGTCTGGGTGGATGATCTTTCTGATGTGTTGTTGCATTGTATTGGTCAGAATTTTATTGAGGATTTTGCGTCTATGTTCATCAGGGAAATTGGTCTGTAATTATCCTTCTCTGCTGCATCCTTTTCAAGTTTAGGTTAAGGTGATGCTCATAAAAAGCATTTTGGAGGATTCCCTCTCTTTCAGTTGTTCTGAATAGTTAGAGAAGAATTGGAATTAGTTCTCCTTTAAATGTCTGGCAGAATTCAGCATTGAAGCCTCTGGTCCTGGGCTTTTCTTTGTTGAGAGGTACCTTTAAAATTATTTTTTTTTTAGCAGGCAGAGTTAGACAGTGAGAGAGAGAGAGACAGAAAGAAAGGTCTTCTTTCCATTGGTTCACCCCTGAAATGGCAGCTACGGCTGGTCACTGCGGCTGGCTCACTGCTTGATCGAAGACAGGAGCCTGGTGCTTCCTCTTCATCTCCCATATGGGTACATGGCCCATGCACTTGGGCTGTGCTCCACTGCCTTCCAGGGCTAGAGGAGAGCTGGACTGGAAGAGAAGCAACTGGGACAGAATCCGGTGCCCCAACCTGGACTAGAACCTGGGGTGCAGGCGCTGCAGGCAGAGGACTAGCCAAATGAGCTGCGGCGCAGGCCAGGATGGCCTTTATTACTGATTCAATTTCTGTCTCAATTGTGGGTCTGTTTAGGTTGTCTTCATAGTTCAATTTAGGTATGTTGTATTTGTCCAGTAATCTAACATATCTGATAGATTTCCCTGTTTGCTGGCATACAACTCTTTGTAGTAATTTCTGGTGTTTGTTGTTACAGTCCCTTTTTCATATTTGATTTTATTTATTTGGTACTTCTCTCTCCTTTTTTTTAATTAGTTGTGTCCATGGAGTGTCAACTGTTTATTTTTTCAAAAAACTCACTCTTCATTTGGCTGATCTTTTGTAATGTTTTTTTTTCATACTCAATTCTGTTGATTTCTTCTGTAATTGTAATTATTTCTCTTCTCCCACTAGTTTTGCGTCTGGTTTGCTGCAGCTTTTCTAGATCCTTGAGATGCATTGATAGCTCATTTATTTGGTGCCTTTCCAGTTTTTTGATATAGGCACCTATTGCTATAAACTTTCCTCTTAACACTGCTTTTGCTGTATCCCGTAAGTTTTGATATGTTGTGTTATCTTCATTTGCTTCCAGAAAGTTTTTGATTTCTCTTTTGATTTCTTCTGTGACCTGTTCTTCATTCAGGAGCATATTGTTCGGTCTCCATGTGTTTGCATATGCTCTAAGGATTCCTGAGTTGCTAAGTTCCAGCTTCATTCCATTGTCCTCTAAGAAAACTGCATGGTATGATTTCGATTCTTTGGAATTAGCTGAGACTTGCTTTATGGCCTAGTCAATCCTAGAGTAGGTTCCATGTACTGCTGAGAAGAATGTGTATTCTTCAAGTGTAGATATCTGTTAGATCCATTTAGGCTATAGTGTCAATTAAATCTGCTGTTTCCTTGCTGATTTTCTGTTTAGTTGATCTGTCCTTAGCTGAAAGTGGAGTATTGAAGTCCCCCAATGATATTGTATTGGAGTCTAAGTCTCCCTTTAAGGTCCTTAGCATATCTTTTAAATAACCGGTGCCCTATTATTATGTCCATACAGGTTTATAATAGTTACATCTTCCTGTTGAATTGATCCTTTAATCATTATATAGTGCCCTTCTTTGTCTCTCTTAACAGTGTTAGTGTTACAATTTATTTTTTCTGATATTAATATGGCCATACCAGCTCTTTTTTGGTTTCTGTTGGCGTGGAATATCTTTTTCCACCCTTTGACTTTCAGTCTGCATGCACTTTTCTAGGAAAGATGTATTTCTTGTAGGCAAAAAATAGATGGGTTTTGTTCCTTAATCCATTCATCCAGTCTGTGTCTTTTAACTGGAGAGTTGAGGCCATTTATATCCAATGCGACTATTGATAAGTAGTGACTTTTCCCTGCCACTTTTCCAAATGTATTTCTAATATATGCTTTGAACTTGTGATCTTTTACTGAGAGATTTTCTTCCTTTACCTTCTTTCATGTGATGACCATGTTTCTGTGTGTAACACATCTTTAAGCATCTTTTGCAGGGCTGGATGAGTGGTGACAAATTCTTTCAATTTCTGTTTGCTATGAAAGGTCTTTATTTCACCTTCATTCACAAATGAGAGCTTTGCAGGATATAATATTCTGGCAGTTTTTTTCTCTTAGTACTTGGGCTATGTCTCACCATTCCCTCCTGTCCTGTAGGGTTTGATAAGTCTGCTGTGAGTCTCATTGGAGATCCTCTGAGAGTAATTTCTCTCTTGTACATTTTAGAATCTTTTCTTTATGTTTCATTGTGGTGAGTTTGATTACAATGTGTCATGGCGAGGATCTCTTCTGGTCATGTTTAATGGGAGTTCTGTGTGCTCCCTGTACTTGGATGTCTTTTTATTTCTCCAAAGACGGGAATTTTTCTGCTTGTATCTCTCTAAAAAGGCCTTCTACTCCTTTCTCTCTCTCCATGCCTTCAGAACGTCTAAAACCTGAATGTTGGGTTTTTTAATAGTATCCTGTAGATTCCCAACCATATTTTTTAGATTTCTAATTTCCTCTTCTTTTCTTTGGTTTGACTGTATGCTTTCCTGTGCTCTGTCTTCTAAGTCCGATATTCTCTCTTCTGCCACACTGATTCTGTTTTTAAGGTTCTCAACTGTGTTTTTTATTTGTTCTATTGAATTCCTCATTCCATTTTGATTCCTCCTTAAGATTTCATTTTCATAAGAGAGATTTTCTTTCATGTCCCGCATGGATTTCAGTATTTCATGCATTTTTTTTTAATGATTCTTTTTATTTATTTATTTATTTGACAGATAGAATGAGACAGTGAGAGATACAGAGAGAAAGGTCTTCCTTCCATTGGTTCACCCCCCAAATGTCTGCCGTGAACAGAGCTACACAGATCTGAAGTCAGGAGCCAGGTACTTCTTCCTGGTCTCCGACACAGGTGCAGGCACCTAAGCACTTGGGCCATCCTCCACTGCTTTCCAGGGCCACAGCAGAGAGTTGGCATGGAAGAGGAGCAACAGAGACTAGAAGCCAGCACCCTTATGTGATGCTGGCACCACAGGCAGAGGATTAACCAAGTGAGCCACGGTGCAGGCCCTCATGCATTTGTTTTTGATTACTTCTATATATTCTTATCATAAATTATTTTGAGTTCTATTTCTTTCATTTCTTCTATCTCATTGTCTTCATAATCTTGTATTAATTATCATGTTCTTTTGGGAGCGTCATGTTGTCTTCCTTGTTCTTGTCCCCTCAGTTGTTGCATTTGTTGTTTGCCATTTGTGGAGATACTTGTTATTTTCTTTTTTTTTTTCCACTGTGGCTACTTTTTTCATTTTATTATGACTCTTAAGATAAAAAGGGGACTGTCTGCTTTCAGTGACTCTCTAGAGTCTTGTGGTGGGTTTGGCCAGAGAGCTCTGTTCAGTTCTTCAGGGTTAAGGGTGTGCTTAAGGTGACAAACCCAGGTTGGGTGTGATAAATCTCTCTCTCTCTCTCTCTCTCTCTCTCTGTTTTTAATCAGAAGGGAAGTAATTCCACTCAGCTGAGCTCTTCTTCTCGATGGCGATCAGTGCCTGAGCACTAGCCCCAATGGGAATAATATTCGTCTGCTCTGTACCAAGGATCACACAAAGGATCTCTGCAGTCCTCAGTGTAAGCTCAGATCCTCCTGCAGTGTCTCTCACTGAGTAGCCAAGGCCGCTCGAGTTTGTGGCGTCTCCCACTGAGAGTACTCACATCTCAGCCACACTGTGAGTTCTCTCACACACTCTCATTTTTTTTTTCCTTTTTTCACAGTCCCAGTTCATGAGCTCCACTCATTCACTAGGTCTTGGTCTCCAGATTTCTGAGGTATCTCCATGCTGTCTTTCACAGTGGTTACAACCAGTTTACATTCCCACCAATGGTGGACCAAGATATCTTTTTCCCCACATCCTCACCAGCTTTTTTCATTTGTTAATTTCTGTTTCATGGCCATTCTAACTGGAGTGAGGCTAAACCTTATTGTGGTTTTGATTTGCATTTCCTCGATGGCTAGTGATCCTGAGCATTTTCTCAAGTGTTTATTGGCCATGTGAATTTCCTCTGTTGAAAAATGCCTATCAAAGTCTTTGGCCCATTTCTTAAATGGATTGTTTGTTTTATTTTGTTTTAAATTTCTTGAGCTCTTTATAGATTCTGGATATTAACCCTTTATTAGTTGTGTAGTTTGCAAATATCTTCTCACATTCTGTTGGTTGCCTCTTCACTTTGCCGAGTGTTTCTTTTGCATTGTATAAGCTTCTTGATGGAATCCCATTTGTCAATTTTGGCTTTGATTGGCTGTGCTGTGAGGTCTTTTCCAAGAAGTCTTGCATATCCCAATGTCTTGCAGAGTTTCTCTAATGTTCATTAATGAGTTGATTGTATTGAGTTGTAGATTTAGTTCTTTGATCAATTTTAAGTGGTATCCTGTCACAGCCAGTTGATATACATACACACAAAGGCTTCCATGGCTTCGGCTGGAGCCCAAAATGTCACTTCCCTTTTCCAGCTGGGTGCTGACCACTTTTGTAGAGAAGATGGGATAAGATAAATGTGCCCCTTTTACTTCTGCTGGGTCTGCAAGTACCTTAGGTCTCCAGGCCAGACTCACACCATGCTCGTCTTCTGGCTATATCAATACAGGTTATCGCAGTTTGGTCTCACCTCCATCTCTAAGCTGCTACCCCACTCTGACTCGGCTGCTTAGTGTGTTGTGTCCATTTTCATGCTGTGTGCCTGCAGCTTCCACATAGGCCCATGGCATTCCTCTTCCCTCTGTAGAAACTCCATTTTTGTGTTCTCTGATTCTCCCATTACAGCACACTTCCTACGCTATTTTTTGTTTGTTTGTTTTGCTATTGATCCCTATCCTAGCACAGCACATTGTTCCCTTCTGCCACCTTGGAGTCTCATGAATTTCTCTCTCTCTTTCTGTTTCTCCTTCATACATACACACACACATGCACACATATACATATATATTATATGTACCTATGCCCTTGTTTATGTAAGCATACGTTTTGAGAATTTGGTTTCCTAAAAGTTTTGCTGAAAAAATTTCAATTAACTGAAAATACTTGTACATGTTTGAGATTTTGTAAAATTTTATTTCTTTTCCTCAATCATCTCAATAACAAATATTTCAGGAAGCTTTGTGTTCTTTTTCCTCTTTTTACAATGCAGGACTCTGAAGATGGAAGGACTTACTTTGTCAAGATCCATGCTCCTTGGGAGGTATTAGTTACTTATGCTGAAGTATTGGGAATCAAAATGCCTATTAAGGAGAGTGATGTTCCCCAAAATGAGGACACTCCATTGACCTATATGCTTTCGGCTGTGAAACTTCCAGCGAGTGTGAAGTATCCTCATCCTGAATATTTCGCTGCCCAGTTCAGCAGACATCGTCAAGAGCTCTTCCTCATTGATGATCCATCAACTTTCTTTCCATCCTCGGCAAGAAACAGAATTGTAGGTAGAGAAACCTTCGGGCACATTCCTTCAAATGTTGTGTGTGTGCCTTTGTGTCCTTGTGTACAGGTGTGTGTATAATACAATGTCTGCAAGGTGTTCCTTTGTAGAATATGAGCACTTCATGGTGTTGGGTGAGTTTGAAAGTTTGTTTGGACCCTAAAACCCATTATCATCCCTACCTCTCAAATTGTTTTTTTTAAAAAATGAGTGGTTGACAGTGTGGATATAGTAAAGATACAGGGTTCATGCAATACTCAGAAAAGCACCTAATTTTGAGAAGCAGAAGACATTTATTTTGTACATTTTTAATGAAATAGTTCTATAATCATAGAGGTTACTTGTAAAATTCAGTATACAGTAAGGACGGTTTCAATCATTCCCAATAAAATGGGAATAACTAAATTTTTATATGTGGATAGAATTTGTGAAACCTGAGAAATCTTTTCCCCTCTTTTAAAACCATTTTCAGTCTTTGAATCATTATTTCCTCTACATTTGTAGTCCTAGAATGTTTAACTTTCCCATTAGAACCTTGCCTCCTAAAGAATCATGGTTTCTGTGTGGCCATTTCTTTGTGTTTTGTGTTTAGACAGGAATAATATCTATTTCATTGATTACCCTGAAAATTAAATAATTCAAAAAATTGAAGGAGTTAAATTGTGCCAGGCATATAATAAGTGTTCAGTAAGTGTGAGATACTATCATTCTAATTGCTCTGACTTTAGATGAAAACTTTAGATTCTGTATTGCTTTTACACTTTCTATCTACTGCTTATTAATATAGTCACTATGGGTCAGCGGTCATAGACCCCTTTCTCTTCCTGAGCAAGTTAAGAGGCAAGATTATATTTTTCCCACATCTAAAATAAATATTTTTAAAATTCACTGGCAGGAGTACTAAAAATATAATTCCTAGAACATAGGCTTTTATTATAATATAAATGCACAAATGAAAAATACTGTCCCATTGCTTTCTAGGATTAAAAAGCAAAAGAAAAAAAACCTACAAGGCAACCTTTAGGAAATAAAGAGCATATGACAGGGAACCAGAGAAGTTGTTTTGAGTCACAATCCTGCTACTTTCTAAATAAGATAATTTCTCTTGAAATAAACAAAATAATGTGGGTATTACTATGGAATCCAAATGAAAGCATGTATGTGAAGCACTCTGCAAATTTTAAGGTATTTTGGAGATACTTGGTACATTAAAAAGTTGCTAATACAAAGCAAGAAATTAGGAATTTGCTCAGTATTAGAAATGTCAGTATTTGTTTACTTTTACTTACTCTTTGTAAACAGTCAAATACCTTAGGGTAATTAGCAGCAAAGCACAATAATTTCTCCTCCTTCATGGTGGAGTGATAAAAATCTTGCTCTGTTGAGGAAGTTATTTTACAGATTTGCATATTAAAACCCCCCTTCTTTCCTACCCTCCTCCCAAACACTGTAGTATATGTATGTACAAATCAAATAGTATTACAAGAACATCTCACATCAGGATAGAATTTCATACTTTTCAGAGCATCTTCAGAGCCATCATGACACTGGAAGCTCACAGTATATACTATATATTTTACTTTTACATATGTGAGCATGTATGTCTGCATATCAAACATATAGATGCATATATGAAAGATATTTTGTGTCACATCTTTTGTTGTGGACAAAGTCCAGACTTTCAAATATGAACCAAGCTCTAGATTTATCCAGCTGTAAAGAGGGAAAAAGCTCATGCTTTCAGTAGGAGACTAAAATTTAACATATGGCCAAGAAATTTGTATATAAAAGAGGAACAGTAAAACACATCTGATCACTTGAATAACAAGACTCTGGACAGAGAACTGGTTCTTAGTTCACACTGAAGCTGAAGTTTCAGTCCACCTATAATGAAATATTTTCCATTGCACTAATAATGCCTTACATGTATTCATGTCATTATCTTTTCAGTCTAAATAGTATTTCACAGTTTGACATTTTATGAGTGCACTCCTTCCAATATAGATTCTTTTTGATAGTTTTTTAAATTATTTTCAATTTGGGGCTTTTAACATATTCTAATTCATACATCCAAATATCTACAAATCATCTTATATGTTCTTATGACAAGCACTGTATTTGCACTGCCTAAAGCCAAACTTTTTAGCTCTTCTCTCTTGACTGTAACCATCAAAAAATAGACAAAAACCATCTCTGTCTTTTTCCCTCTCTCCCATCCTCTTTCAATCTGTGTCCATGCCTGTGTCTGTATCTGTATCTGTGTCTCTGTCTTTATCTCTGTCTCTGTCTCTCTTCATTCAGCACTTCCATTAAAGCATCAGAAAGAAACCTAAGATTTCTTTACACTACCAATTTGTCTCAGCCATGTTCAATCCATCAGTAGCTTCTATTAATGTAAATATCTAAATCCTAAATATCTCTTGAATCCATATTCTTTCAGTTCCATCCCCACTATTAGCAAATTTTCCAAAAACTTATAGCCATCATTAAAGAGATCTACCACAATGTTTTTTTAATGAGTCTCCATACCGATTTTTTGCTACCTCTAATATATGTGAATGACATATGCAAAACCTTCAAACCTCTTCTTTTTTTTTCCTTTCTTTTCTTCCTTCCTTTTTCTCTTTCCCTCCCCTCCTTCCTCCTTTCCTTCCATCTCTCTTTCTCTCTCTCCTTCTTTATTTCTTTTGTAAGATTTATCTATTTGAAAGGTATATTTTCAAAGACAGTGAAGAGAGAAGAGAAGAGAGATCTGTCCACTGGTTTACTCCCCAGATGCCACAATACCTGGGATTGGGCCATGTTAAAGTCAGGAGAAAAGGAACTCCATCCATGTTTCCTACATGGGTGCAGGGACCCAAGAAGTTGGACCGTATTCCACTGCTTTCCCAGACACATTAGCAAGGAGCTGGACTGGAAGTGGAGTAAGCCAGGAGTCAAACCCATGCTCTTAGGAGAAGCTGACATTGTTAACCAGTGGCCTAACATGCTGTGCTGCAACACTGGCCCCAGCATCAATACTTCTTTTACAGTATAGATCAGTGTTTTTAATGTGGCTGAGAACTACATGATTTCCTTCAGAGGAATTACAATATACATAGGTATATAATTTGTATGCATATGCTGATTTTATTTCCTTATGGTAAATTCCCAGGAATGGGATGGCGGTGTCATGGTAAGGCTATATTCAATTTTTTTAAAAGATTATTTATTTGAGAGGTAGAGTTATAGACAGTGAGAGGGAGAGACAGAGAGAAAGGTCTTCCATCTGCTGGTTCACTCCACAGATGGCCGCAACTCCTGGACGTAGGCCCATCAGGAGCCAGGAGCTTCCACATCTCCCATGTGGGTGCAGGGACCCAAGCCCTTGGGCCATCTTCTGCTGCTTTCCCAGGCCATAGCAGAGAGCTGGATGGGAAGAGGAGCAGCTGGGACTAGAATCAATGCCCACGTGGGATGCTGGCACTGCAGACAGAGGATTAACCTACCTTGCCACAGTGCCAGCCCCAATATATTCAGATTTCTGAGGTATCTCCATACTGTCTTCCACAGTGGATGTACCAGCTTACATTCCCACTGACAGTGGATTAGGATATCTTTTCCCCTACATCCTCACCATTATTTATTCTTTGTTGATTTCTGTATGAAATCCATTCTAACTGGGGTGAGGTAAAACCTCATTGTGCTTTTGATTGCATTTCCCTGATGGTTAGTGATCCTGAGAATTGTTTCAAGTGATAGTTGGCCATTTGAATTGCCTCTTCTGAAAAATGCCTGATAAAATCATTTGCCCATTTTTAAATTGGATGGTTTGTTTTATTGCTCTTGAGTTTCTTGGGCTCTTTTTAGATTCTGTGTATTAATCATATATCAGTTGCCTAGTTTGTAAATATTTTCTTCCATTCTGTTGGTTGCCTCTTTGCTTTGCTGCATGTGTGTTTTACAGTCCAGAAAATTTTCAATTTGATATAATCCCATTTGTCAATTTTGGCATTGATGCCTGTGCTTCTGGGGCCTTTTCCAAGAAGTCTTTGCCTATGCCAGTGTCTTGCACAGTTTACCCAATTGTCTAATAATTTGATGGTATTGGGTCATAAATTTAGCCTTTGAGCCATTTTGAGTGGATTTTTGTATAAGGTGTAACGTAGGGGTCTTGTTTCATACTTCTGGATTTGGAGATCCACTTTTCCCAGCACCATTTGTTAGAGAGACTGTTCTTGTTCCAGGGATTGATTGTAGCTCTTTTGTCAAAGGTAAGTTGGTAGTAGATGCATGGATTGATTGCTGGAGTTTCTATTCTGTTCCACTGGTCTACATGTCTATTTTTTTGCCAGTAACAGACTATTTTGATTATAACTGCCCTGTAGTATGTCTTGAAATCTGGTATTCAGATGCCTCAGCTTTGTTTTTGTTGTATAAGATTGCTTTAGTTATTCAAGGTCTCCTCTGTTTCCATATGAATTTCAGGATTGTTTTTTCTAGATCTGAAAAGAATGTCCTTGGTATTTTGATCGAGATCACATTGAATCTGTAAATTGCTTTCAGTAGTATGGAATTCTTTTAAAAAATATTTTTTCATTTTATTTGAAATGCAGAGTTACAGAGAGACAGAGGCAGAGGGGGGAGGGAGAGGGGGGTCCTCCATCCACCAGTTCTCTCCTCAGACAACCCCAGTAGTATGTATATTTTAATGATATTGATTCTTCCAGCCCATGAACATGGAAGATTTTTCCACTTTTTGGTGTCTTCTATTTCTTTCTTTAATGCATTATAATTTTCATCATAGAAAGCTTTGATGCCCTTGGTTAAATTTATTCTAAGGTTTTCAATTTTTTTTTGTAGCTATTGTGACTGGGATTATTTTAGAGGTTCTTTCTCAGCTATGGCATTGTCTGTATAGAAAAACTATTGATTTTTGTGTGTTAATTTTATATCCTGCCACTTTACCAAATTCTTATGAGTTCCAATAGTCTCTTAGTTGTTTCTTTTGGATCCCATATATATGGAATCATGTCATCTGTAAATAGCGATCATTTGACTTCCTCCTTCCCAATTTATTTCCCTTTGCTTTCTTTTTCTTGTCTAATGGCTCTGGCTAAAACTTCCAGGACTATATCGAATAGCAGTGGTGAGAGTGGGCATCCTTATCTGGTTCCAGATCTTAGTTGATATGCTTCCAACATTTTCCCACTCAGTTAGATGCTGGCCATAGGTTTGACATAAATTTCCATGATTGTGTTGAGGAATGATCATTCTATCCCCAATTTGCTTATGGTTTTCATCATGAAAGGATGTTGTATTTTATCAGATGTTTCTCTGCATCTGTTGAGATAATCATATGGTTTTTGTTCTTCAGTTTGTTAAGGTGATGTATCACATTGATTGATTTGTGAAGACTGAATCATCCCTGTGTACCAGAGATAAATATCATTTGATCCAGTGAGTGATATTTTTGATGTGCTATTGGATTCGATTGGCTAAGATTTTGTTGAGGATTTTTGCATCTATGTTCATTAGGGAAATTCATCTATAGTTTTCTTTTTCTGTTGTATCTTTTTCAGGTTTAGAAATTAAGGTGATGCTGGCTTCATAGAAGGAGTTTGGGAGGTTCCCCCCTTCAATTGTTTTGAATGACTTAAGAACTGAAATTAGTTCTTTTTTTAAATATCTGGTAGAATTCAGCAGTGAATCCATCCAGTTCTTAACCTCTCTTTGTTGGGAGTGTCTTTATCACTGATTCATTTTCCATCTTGGTTATTGGGCTTTTTATGTCTTATGTGTCTTCATGACTCAATTTTGGTAGCATCTATGTGTCCATTGTTTTTCTCCTAATTTTCCTAATTTGTTAGCATGAAGCTCTTTGTAGTAATTCCTGATGATTCTTTTTATTTCTGTGGTACCTGTTGTTACATTTTTTTATCTCTGCTTTTATTGATTTGGATCTTCTCCCTCTTTTTTTTGTTATTTGGGCAAATGGTTTATCCATCTTGTTTATATTTTCAAAAAACAGGTCTTTGTTTTGCTGATCTTTTGCATTTTTTTAATTTTTTCTCTAATTTTAATCATTTCTTAAGTCCTACTAGTGTTGGGTTTGATTTTCTGTTGTTTTTCTACTTACTTGAGATGCATTGATAGCTCATTTATTTGATGCCTTTCCAATTTCTTGATGTAGGTACCAACTGGTATAAACTTTCCTCTTAAGACTACTTTTGCTGTATCCCGTAAGTTTTGATATGTTTCCAAAATTTTTTAATTCTCTTTTTATTTCTTCTATGACCCACTGTTCATTCAGGAGTATCTTGTTCAGTTTCCATGTGTTTGCATATGTTCCACAGATTCTTGAGTTGCTGATCTCCATCTTCATTCCATTGTGGTCAGAGAAGATACATGATATGATTTTGAATTTTTTGAATTTGCTGAGACTTGCTTTATGGCCTAGAATGTGATAAATGGTAGAGAAAGTGTTTCATGCACTGGTGAAAAGAATGTGCATTCTGCAGCTATAGGATGCAAAGTTCTGTAGGTATCTATGAGGTCCATTTGGACTATAGTATCAATAACTCTGTTGTTTCCTTGCTGAAAATTTGTCTGATTTGTCACTGCTGAAAGTAGGATATTCAAATCCCCCAATACTGTTATATTGAAGGCTATGTCTCCCTTTAAATACCTTAACATTTTTTTATAGCCAGGTGCACTGTAATTAGGTGCATATAAATTTATTATAGTCACATCTTCCTATTAAATTGGCAATTAATCATTACCTAGTACCCTTCTTAGTCTCTTTGAACAGTTTTTGTGTTAAAGTCTATTTTGTATTATGTTAGGATGGCTAAACCAGGTCTTCTTTAGTTTCAGTTAGCATGGAATATCTTTTTCCATCCTTCAACTTTCAGTCTGTGTGTATCTTTGTTGGTGAGATGTGTTTCTTGTAGGCAACAAATAGATAGATCTTGTTTATTCATTCTTTCAGCCAGTCTGTATCATTTACTGGAAAGTTGAGGCCATTTACATGAAAGATGACTATTTTTTTAAAGATTTATTTATTTATTTGAAAGGCAGAGTTACACAGAAAGAGAAGGAGAGGTAGAGAGAGTCTTCCATCCACTGTTTCACT